TGAATTTTCATATAATAATTATATATATTGTTTGTTTTTTCCCCTCTTGATGCAAATGCATAGTTGGTTCTCAAGTTCCAAGTCGCTATTGCATAATTAACATTTCCCGAATTAAATTTATATTGAAAGAATAGATTGTGACTAGCTGACCCAATATTAGCTCCTCATTAAGGACGCTGATGCGTGCAGAATTTGTAGGTAAGCCAATAAACGTATAACAGAAGTTATTAAAAGCTATTCAAAATTTATTAAATTAGGCATCTTTGAAACATAGTACATCAGTGTTTTCTTAATTGATTAAAACACATTTTATTAAGTGGCCCCGTGTAATGGTTAGTTATCGTGATGGTCGTACTTTGGAAGACGTGAAACATTTTGTTAGTTTATAACTAATTTCTGTCTGGTTCCGTTCAAAACAATGAAACGATAGCGAAACACTAAAGTAACAAGGAGAAAGTATGTTCCAATGCAATTTCTGTGTTTAATAACGAAATACTTTTCGCTTTATCAATAACAAGTTTCATTTTAAATTTACCAACAGTTTTGTGTTTCACCGTGCAATACGTAAGCTGTTAAATATGAATTTAAAACTACGTATATTATTTTTTCACATTTGTAAATTGTAATAAAGTACCGTTACACGCAACCACAGAAATTTTGATAACACTGCTCTGTCATTGTGAAACATATTCCGGAAAGAGTTATTTTAAGGCCGAGGATGAAACGCAGTCTAACAATATTATGTGCTATTGAATATGAGCTGTAAAATGTAACGCATATAATGCCCGTAGTGTAAAATTATATACACGCTCCGTATAAAACTGTAATATAATTTCGTAGCACTGCTACCATCATATGCTGAAAAAACAGTATTCAAAATCGTACTGCTTTTCAATTTCTGTAGACATTTCGCGAGTATGATAATACGTTTGTTTTACCAAAACCGTTTCTTGTGAACGACAAATTAAAGCGTTTTGAAAATAAGATTGTTTTTAGTAAGAACATTTTAGAGAGAAGAAGTACATATAATGTTACATTTGTTGCTACCGAGGTGGCATTTCCATTAGGATTCAAAGGATTAATTTTCTTTTTCGATCCAGAAGATAGCATTTCTCCATGTGTGTCAACTTGTGAAAGATTTTATTTTGTTATATCGGCGCAGTAGTTTTTGGCTGGTGGAGCTGGCGGACGGGCCTACTCTGTGTACCTGAGGTGGCGCGCTCAGTAAATTTCTTTTGTTTGGGCGTTCAGTCCGATAAGCTCCTCGGTGCAGTCAGCATTATACTATCGCAAAAGAGACTCGCTCCTAGCCTTCCCCTTGAAAATTCCACCGGCCAAAAACTACTGCACCGACTATACGTATCATTGCCGTCGAAAGAAAGAAGACGTTTGAACAATGGTGATTATAACAAAACAAATCCTTTTCATGTCAAACTCAAGCCACCATCACTTCACTCTTTGAACCAAGAATAAAATATTTAGTATTGAAATGTTATTAAAGTGCAATAAGGAGACGATATTGTTTAAAAATAGAATTACTTTTTAGTTTCCATATGAGTTTCTATATTGAGCACTTATTAATAAAGCTTATTTCTCGGATACGTTAAAATACTGGAGCAACCTCTCTCCAGAGGTAAGAAACGTGAAAGGAGATTGTCCAGAGGCCTGGACGTGACAGCTTCATTATCATCAGTGATGTACATTAGTCATGCGCTCCAGGCTTCATGACTTCTAAGCTATAGTAGAACAGCAAAAACGAAGACAGGATTAAACTTTAATATTTATAGTAACAGCAGAAGAATGGTATTGAGAAGGTCTAGAGAGTATTTCGAAGCCGGTGCAGACATTAAATTGTCAAATCTGTTAAAAAAACTTATATTGTAGATTTTTTTAAATTTAACCTTTATTAGCTAATTACGTCTGTAGTCGGAGCAGAATAAATATTGTTATCCACGAAGAAAACGGATCTTAAGAAAAGATGATGATGCTTCATATTTAATTAAATTTTCGTGATAATTAATCTTAATAGTAAAATTTGACCTCGGCGCAGTCTCATCGAATGTCCTTAAAACAACAATAACAAGTTATTTATAACTGAATTTAATTGTCTTCGATAATTACTTTCGTTTCAATTTTTAAGTATGTTATCATCACAAAAATATCAACTGTGTCTTTTAATATTTCTCAATGCATATAACTTATCACCATTTGAAACTGCTACGTTACATACGCCTACATCTGGAGAAGTTTGATAATGTTTCAACTTTAAAATATATTTTCACGTTTATTAATTGACTGATGCAAACAGAATTGTATAATCACAAACTAAATGAATTAATAAGTAAGTTTGAGATGCTTGTATCACTTTATTATGCTGCCATTTATCAGTCCTATTTTCCTACAATTAAATTACAAAATCAAAAAATATTATTATGAAAATATTCCACATTTTTTTTAATACTGTAGTTGAAGAACGTACTTCCATTATTCAAAAGAAGAAAGCCCACCAGTTGCATGCTACGAGAAATTAAGATCCATTTTTGTTCCTTTTATTCGAAAAGTTTTGGAATCCGACTCATAACTAGCCCGTTTTAAATCATTACCTCAACGCAAGCACTGACCTTGACGCCTTGAAGAACTCAGTGGCAGCGTGTAGAGATAGTTCATAAACGAATGTGACACTTAGTGTGCATTCAGAGTAACACAGGCAGGAGAATAGACGACAGACTGTCAGGCGTTGTGATGTGTTGCCATAGGAATTACATCTCTGCTGATATGCCGGTATTTTATTCATAAATAAAAATATTTCTGTAAATCTACGGCGGTAGAATACTTTTGACAGTCCGGTAGCCGAACAATACCATAGCAATATTGTCTCCGTATCCTCCAGATCTACCCCGGGCTGTAGTTAAAGTAGCGTGTAGAAATTTCTATCTTTCATGTTTTTGTGTCATTTCGAACCGATATGAGAAATCAATGCTAAAGTAAAGCATGAACAGAAATGCTGTATTCTGTGAATTGGATTTAATCCCTAAACACAGAATGCAACAGGACACGAATAGTTCAGATAATGATTTTCAGGAGGAAGCCAATCATGCTGGCAGGGACTGGGTTAATGAACATTATATGATAAACTGATAAAATCAAATTAATTTAATCCCGTGTCCTCGTTGTGCTGCCACCTATCAGACCACTGTAACAGCAACTTAAAGTAAATCCAAGTTGTCCCCATTACATAGTTTAGAAGTGCGCGGGAATGGGGGAGTCGTTTCTTTTCTAAGCACTAGATGGGGTGAATTGTCAGCTTGACGCGACGGCCGAGTTTTATCCATAGGAAAGGAACCCAGAGTCTTTATGGACGCAAAGGCCAGAAGAAAAATCGTTTGCTGCAGGTAAAACAGGGAAACGTACCTACAACAACTATGAAACCTCATTTATTATACTAAAATACTTTGTCTACAACGGAGGCTTACAGATAGCTAGGTCCAGTTCGGACGCACCGTCTCTTCAGGACCTGGTCAACGATCGAGCAGTTCACTTTGCTGTACTACACCGTCTTAGCAATAAACCATTTCATACGGCACATCTCCTGCTCGTGTTTACGACATTCCATCCGAGAATTCGTCGTTCCCCTCTCCTGCACGGTCCCCGTTCGCCTTGTAGGTTCGCAGCTGCGTTCACATCAACGATAAGACGTAGCATGACTCCAGGCGAAAGTCGGGATGCAACTAAACAGCCTTTGATCGCATATTTCTAAAATGTGTTAAAGAGCAGAAACTATGCTCCTTAAACTTTGCCGCGAACTCGTAAGCATTGTGTTTCACCAGCCTTGGCCGATCCAGGGGAAAAAAAACAAAAGAAAAAAGGATCTACTTGATACTAAAGTAATTGTTCACAGCGCGTGATTCCTTAATAACACTCGGAACAGGGTCAACACTTTCTACACGAAATTCGTTCTTTTGTAGCTCTGCGGTTCCTTTGAAGGTAGTTCACTCCCTCAGTACAGTATGAACACGAATCAGATTACAAGATAAGGTTCTTGGTCAGCCATAACATCGCAGTGGCCTGTGGACCTGTCCAACAAGTCACGGCATACACAGCAGCTGGCTCTAATTTGATGTCTAACACAACGGAAAATTGCTCAACATTGCACACTTCTGGGATCGTGCACTTAAATTGTCGGTAATGTAGTTCTCTGCAATCAGTCTCATGGACAGAACATGCGATGACATTTTCGTTCACGTACAGGCCTGAATCAGTTTAAAGGCACTTACAGAAAATTTACACTATGTTATGAAGCACTATAAAACTCTAGAATACTGAGAAATAAGGTAGCTGTTTCCTTTACGCATCCATTAGGATCTACACTTATAAATAATTATTACGTCACGTAACTATTAAAAACACAAGAAAGATAGGCTATGGTGCTGTCAAGATAGTAAAGATGGACGAAACAGGATAACATATTATTTTTTTAGAATTAACATGTACTATCTCAAAATTCAGTAAAATTATCGTAGTTTCTTTAGTCTTGAAGCAAAGAACTAAAGTCAATTAATATCTGTTGTTTTACAATTATATTCTTCGTTCAGTAGGAATTATCAATCATAGTCGCCGTTCCATGTCTGGCGTAGGCCTTGATCCTTCGAACACTCGAAACGTGGGTTCGTACCACTCGAGGTAATAGTCGGTGTCCACGTCTTTCTGTGTTGTGTGCTGCCCTACGATAGGCTAACTCCGTCCAAGGAGTGTTATCAGATGTGGGAAAAGAGGTCGAAATTGGCTTTGTTTTTATCAAAACAAAGCCAGGGTTCAGACACACGTAGTTGATATTACGAACTGGAAGCGTCTGTTATGTGGAATATTCAAGCAGCTGAACACTGGCATTTGAATACGTATTGTGATGGTTCGTATTTCGGTTTTTGTTGCCACAGAATTTAAATCGGTTGTTGTGTTTATAAAATCCTTATACGTTGTTTTTCTTTTATTTTTTGTTGCAGAACCAGATCTCATTGTTTCAAGAGCTGAAGTTATCTTGAGTACAGCTGCATCTCAACAACCAAATACCTGAAAATCTCTCCTTAGAATGCTCACCTTACACGTTTATTGAAATGGACAATCTCAGATTAGACCAGCAATAAGAAAATCTGAAGTGAAAAAGAAAATTATAAACCATGTTCATCGATGGTTGGTTGTTTATGTTAAGACATTTTATATTTTTTTCCCTCTCTTTTTGTAGTGACTGTCTTTGTCACTGCATCGAAACAAGTTTAGTTTTGGAACAAGTCAGTATTATCTTTGTTGTGTAGCGTGAAGGACAGCTATAAACATGACTGAACACATCGTGTAGTGGCGTCTGTAAACAACGTAAACATTCGTACAGTCGAGCACTGTAATGTAACCTGAAGTGAATCGAATCTGTCTACCTCATTAAGTTCCTAGTATGAAGACCTATGAATGGATTCATTGTGTGTTTTAATATGCTCTCTAGCGATTGGATTATAATTAAACACTAATAGTGGAAATACGAACTGGTAAATGCCTTGTCGAAATGTTGCAGATATTTCTGGTGAAGATAAAGGTAAGAGAATAGATGTAGGTACTCTTTTATGTTCTATTATCGGTAACGAAGTGTTTTTATAGCTAGAGGAGTAAATTCTTAGAAAAACAAAAACATTTCAGTGATTTTACGGTAAAGAAACCTACTGTTTGTTTGCGTTAGGGAGACTGAGTATGAGAAAATCCATTTAAAACTCAACATTAAAACTTCATAAAACGTCAATTATTGTAAGACGTTGTAGGTACTACAGAGAAAAAATTATCAAATACGTTATTGCATTTCAGATGAAAAAAAGATGCTTGTGTGATTGTATAGCATTTAATGCTATTTGAGTTCATGCTTTAATTAAAAACATGTAAGTGTATTTATTAATGTTCTGTTCAGTATATTACGAATTCATCACTAATCTATTAATCAGTTTCCTTCTGCAACATTTTCTACACGTGGGTTACGAAAAGCAGAGTTAACGTCACTAGTTGTGAATAATTCTCTGACATGATTTTATGTTTGTCGTGGACTATTACATTTAATGGTAGACTTATATTAAGTGCATCTAAGGATGAATTCAAAAATTGGAAACATTTACACTATATTTAATTTGGTATTGGATATTAGCCATTGTAGTACTGTTGTTATTAAATTTAATTTGTTTTCATTCTTCTTAGAATAATTACTTTATTTTTTCTAATTGAATGTTTCCTATTTTTCAATCGAATTTCTGAATAAAACCAGAGATTCTCGGTTCATTACGATTGTTTGAATGTATCCCTACCATGACTTAATTTTCACCGTGGAGTTCCGAAAACTCCTTTAACATTTAACTGATAATATTCTCGTAAACGCATGTAAAGCATTTCAGGTTATTAATGAAGAACAAATAGGGTTTGAGGTTTTCACGGCGGTGAGTACGAAGATGGCTGCCTTCTGGTTTGGTGCGCCGTATAGTCTGATAGAAATTTACCAACGCTTTACAGGAAAAGCTTACAAGGTTGAAACATACACTAAGCAAACTGTCTGTTAAATACTATTCGTCTCACATGGCTGTCAACAGACGCAAGAGAAGTTGCATAAATAAAGGGGCGCTTATGCAGGTCAGATTGACGTGATCTCAGTGACCATACATCTTAATACAAATTTAATAGATTTCAGTCAATGTCTTGCCCACAAGTACCGCAGTAATTCCTCATTTTATTCGTTGAATGACTTACGTAATAGATTGATTGACTGTTCTGTTTAAAATTATATTGGCCTGCCAAAGATCAGCTAATCGAAAAATGAAATGAAACGCACCCAACTTTAAGTGATAACCACATTCGTAATTTTCTTTACGTCGTGTTTGATGTTTCCCTCAACAGTATGAATGGAATATTCGTAATGGAGGATAGATGTGTTTTCTTTGGTGTTGGAATTGAATTTTCAGGTTTTGTTTTCATGAACTTCGTCTTCAGAGGGTTAAATCTTGAATACTCTATCTTCTTTTTAAGAGTAAACATTTGCGCACGCTTTACTGTTATCAACTGCATGACAATGAAAGTTATACCAACTTTCTCGTCTAAATTAACATATTCCACGATTCATTGGCGTCCTTGAGTAATTAATATTCAGCTGATCCAGAAATCCTTATGTTTATAAAATACAACCTTGTATTATCATTGTCACAAAGGCTTACGCTGGGACCGTATTTTGAACCAGTTAATTGTATTTTTTAAAAAAATTAAGCAATGCTGATTCTTTCGTATCGGGTATTGCTTTTATATTGCTGTTAGTTCTTCGTAATAAACTCATTTGTAAGACTGCGATGAAGATAGTAAAAACTTTATAGGCCACTGATCATCAGACCCTCATCTTGTGGTCATGCAATTTATATCATTCTGCACATTTTGATGAAGGCTGTAGAAGAAGGGCTGTTTTCAATTTAAAGGAGTCGAATTTACATGCCCTTATTCAACCACCTTCATCAAACTGCTGAACGGAATCTCCAATAGAATTTCAAAATTGTCTGCCATAACGAAAACAGAACATTATAGAAGAAGGGATTTTAAAGGAAACAAAATTTATCGTAACATGCTGGAGAGTGCACGAATGATCGGTTTTTTAAAGTGTAAAGGTTCTTACGTCTGAAAATGGATAAAGGAAATATACTTCAAAAAATCTTTAATAAAAATGAACGCTGATAATGTAACGACATTTCTTTTTTGTTCTTTCCATGAATTGTGTGTTGAGAATTTTTATTTTACCCTCAACTTTTGAAGATTGTGCACGTCGTTTCCTTTGAGTAAAAGAATCACTTTATATTCGTTGATTTTATTTCTTATTCTCACTTCTTTATTGGCGAGCAAAGCGAAGGCTACGAGAAAGGGATCCATCCGCATGCCTCATCCCGTAGGCGCTAGCGAGAAGCTGATCCATCGGTATGGATCATACAGAGCTCGCTCCTCATATCCCTGATAATCCATTCACATCTTCGGTCCTAACCAAACGGGAAAATAAACTTGCTCTGTCCATTGTAAGATCAATTTTCGAAAGGAATGTGGCTGCATATGACAGGCCACCCTGTTTAATTGTGTCCGCGTGAGGCAGTCAGTTCCTCTGAAACGTCGGTTAGTATCTACTAGATTACGCGGCGCAACATACACAAGGCTACCATCTTCTCGTATCTCTTGTTATAACTGAGACCAAATTTCACTTTTTTTCTTTGTAAATAGGATCTGAGGACAAAATTATTTCGTAAACAAAATAATATATATGAAGTATTGGTTTGTTGATGTAGGCCGATTGTAGGTATATAAGGATATTTTATTATATGACATTTTGGATTCATAAGAGATATCCAAAACCAGATCCAAAAACTAAACTAACCAACCAACCTCGTGCAGTAGAACCCTTCCTACAATGGTGAAACTACGCTCAGCTACTAAAGAAAGGCTGTATCTCTCCACCAGTCCCCATTATCAGTCAGGTAATTCCAGTTCGCACCCTCCAAACGTACTTCTGTATATCCATTTTAATATTATTCTCCTAACGTTTTGTTCCCTATCATACTATCGCATTAAACGTTCTCATTATTTTCTTATTTCGCTATGCGTCTTCCGGCTTGAAACTTATTCATGCTGTGTCTATAGGATAAAGGAGGGAACAGTAACAACAACAACAACAACAACAATAACGCAGGTCCAATGTAAGCGAGTAAGCATGGAAGTGCAGTACACAGTTACTGTACACATTCCTCTAAATTTTCAGTAACTGAGCGGTGTTTATGTCATTTTCGCGAGCTACGTGATTTGTCATTACAAAGCAAGTTGACGGAGTATATTTTCGTAAACAAACTCGCACTGTGAATTTTGACATGATCGTATCGCGTCATGCCTCATTTCACGATGAGACAAGAAAAGTTCATGACAGCTCATTTTGTAATGGACTGGTTTGTCACGTGGTGGATGATATATCTAGGGTGTCTGCAAGGTGGCAGATTGATTGATGTAGTTCGGTGTGACCATTGTATAAACACGCGTTACCTAGGGAACGTACCAGAGATGTGATTATGCACAGCAGGTTTCCCTATTACCCCCGGGGATAGAGGAAATGTGCAAAAAATATATGCTAGGAAGTGCTTCAAAGCAGACCTATACCAGTGGTATATTACAAAAACACTGTAATTAATAAATTTTAAGAGCAGCAGGCATGATAATGGCTGTCTTCTGGTATGTAGCAACTGTTAGATCAGAGGCGCTTATTACACAGCGCCAAGACACATGATATCGTCATTCTCACCCCCTTTAAAACCTCAAATCTCACTTAATAAAATTTTAATTGTTACATTCGACGCATTGATACAATTCCGATCACAGCGGCGGCGCTGTCTGCGAACTCTATGTCGGCTCCGACATTCGGGTCGTGGGCTCGAATCCCATTCCAGGGTAGATACTATTTCTGTGTTGTGCTATTTCGCGTAGGCATTGCGATAGGCAGACGGCTGTCCAAGGAATCCTACCGTGTTTAAGCTACTTCTACTCCTTCCCCACCATTTCTCTTCCAAGCCTTTACCGCTTTCATTTATTTACTATTCCGTCTTCGTCCATCGATTTCCATAGTGCCCTTCAATTAAGCTTCACTCGTCCTTATGTTGTTAATCAACTTCTTATACGTGCAGGTCTTGCAGTCCTTCGATTTTTCCATTAACGCCGCCCAGCAAACGCTGTACGATATGTACCTCGTTAACTAAATACTTAATCGAGGGTAAAGCGTTTCATCAAGTTTGAAAAATATTTCTTGTAAGAAATATTAGAACTACCGCATTCAAGTATTTAGGCATAAAAATGTAAAAAGTAAAGAATGTTGTCCATGGAGTGAATATTGATGTAGTATCTAGTGACCTGAATTTGGTATTTTACACTTGTCCGTTGATTGTGTCGTGGTTTATCTTACTCCAAACCAATGTTATCTCGAAAGTGCGTAGAAAATGCACTTCAAATGAGAAAAACAAAATACTGAGACAAAACGGAATTTCAAGTGTCCTAGAGACGAAGAGCGACTTTTCAGTCGAGCAACGTTTGGTCATTGATTAGTACCGGGCATAAATTTCGGTCCTGTAATTCTGTAAAGCTGTCCCGCTACATGCGGGGGGGGGGGGCTTGAAGGAAGAAGATACATTGCAGCTTCTTATTCTTGTCCTCGGCACTAGATGGATGCGAGTGGTGAACGTCACGCCTCGACTGCACTTTCTCTCACGGAAAAAACTTACAGTTACCGAAATTAAATACAGTGAATTCCGACTAATTGGGACACATCGGGACTAGATTGCTTTGTCCCAACTAACCGGTTGCCCCAATTATGTTAAGTTCCACGTAAAGAGTTAAAAGGGTTCGTTCTTTAAGATTTGTCCCTAATAAACGGCTGTCTCGATTAACCGGAATCTACTGCACGTGTTTTATGACTTATCAGTTACCAAACTTTTTGTTGTGTAGATCTTTCTTTGGAAGAAATGTGGGGGAAATAATATAATGGAGATTGAAGGTATCCGT